AACAAACCCAAAGTTATCATGAAATCAAAAATCACTTTTCATTGGCTTGATTCTAATCGAATTAGACTAGCAATTTGTCAAAAATGAATAAACCTAAAGTTATCACACAATCATCATAAGACACTTTTCATTGGCTCGATTCCAATCGAATTAGACTAGCAATTTGCCAAAAATGAGCAAGCCCGAAGTTATCATGAAATCAAAGACCACTTTTCATTGGATCGATTCCAATCAAATTAGACTAGCAATTTGCTAAAAATGAAAAAATCGAAAGTTATCATGAAATCAAAACTACTTTTCATTGGCTCGATTCCAATCGAATTGGACTAGCAATTTGCCAAAGACGAATAATCTCGATGTTATCATGAAATCGAAAGCCACTTTTCATTGGCTCAATTCTAATCGAATTAGACAAGCAATTCGCCAAAAAGAGCAAGCCCGAAGTTATCATGAAATCAAAACCATTTTCATTGGCTCGATTCCAATTGAATCAGACTCGCAATTTGCTGAAAATGATCAAACTCGAAGTTATCTTGAAATAAAAAACCACTTTTCATTAGCTCGATTCCAATCGAATTAGACTAGCAATTCACCAAAAATGAGCAAGCCCGAAGTTATCATGAAATGAAAAATCACTTTTCATTGGTTCGATTCCAATCGAATTAGACTAGCAATTTGCAAAAAATGAACAAACCCGAAGTTATCATGAAATCAAAACTACTTTTCATTGGCTCGATTCCAATCGAATTCGACTAGTAATTTGCCAAAGACGAATAATCCCGATGTTATCATGAAATCAAAAGCCACTTTTCATTGGCTCAATTCTAATCGAATTAGACAAGCAACATGCCAAAAAGAACAAACCCGAAGTTATCATGAAATCAAAACCATTTTTCATTGGCTCGATTCCAATTGAATTAGACACGCAATTTGCTGAAAATGATCAAACCCGAAGTTTTCTTGAAATCAAAAACCACTTTTCATTGGTTCAATTCCAATCGAATTAGACTAGCAATTCGCCAAAAATGAGCAAGCCCGAAGTTATCATGAAATCAAAACTACTTTTCATTGGCTCGATTCCAATCGAATTGGACTAGCAATTTGTCAAAGACGAATAATCCCGATGTTATAATGAAATCGAAAGCCACTTTTCGTTGCCTCAATGCTAATCGAATTAGACAAGCAATTCGCCAAAAAGAACAAGCCTGAAGTTATCATGGAATCAAAACCATTTTTAGTTGGCTCGATTCCAATTGAATTAGACTTGCAATTTGTCGAAAACGATCAAATCCGATGTTATCATGAAATCAAAAACCACTTTTCATTCGCTCGATTCCAATCGAATTAGACTAGCAAATCGCCAAAAACGAGCAAGCCCAAAGTTATAATGAAATCAAAAACCACTTTTCATTGGATCGATTCCAATCGAATTAGACTAGCAATTTTGCCAAAAACTAACAAACCCGAAGTTATCATGAAATCAAAATCCACTTTTCATTGGCCTTATTTCAATCGAATAAGACTAGCAATTTGCAAAAGATGAACAAACCCGATGTTATCATGAAATCAAAAACCACTTTTCATCTTCTCGATTCCAATCGAATTAGACTAGCATTTCTCAAAAAATGAACAAACCCACAGTTATCATGAAATCGAAAGCCACTTCTCATTAGCTCGATTCCAACTGATTTAGACTAGCAATTTGCCAAAATGAACAAATCTGAAGTTATCATGAAGTTAAAACCACTTTTCATTAGCTCAATTCCAATCGAATTAGACTAGCAATTAGCCGAAAACGATTAAACCTGAAGTTATCTTGAAATAAAAAACAACTTTTCATTGGCTCGATTCCAATCGAATTAGACTAGCAATTCGCCTAACAGAACAAACTCGAAGGTATCATGAAATCAAAACCACTTTTCATTGGCTCGATTCCAATCGAATTAGACTAGCAATTTTCAAAAATGATCAAACTCGAAGTTATCATGAAATCAAAAACCACTTTTCATTGGCTTGATTTCAATCGAATTAGACTAGCAATTTGCCAAAGACGAACAAACTCGAAGTTAACATGAAATCAAAAACCACTTTTCATTGGCTCGATTCCAATCGAATTAGACTAGTAATTTGCCAAAAACGAACAAATTCGAAGTCATCATGAAATCAAAAATTACTTTTCGTTGGCTCGATTCCAATCGAATTAGACTAGAAAATCGCCAAAAACGAGCAAGCCCAAAGCTATCATGAAATCAAAAACCACTTTTCATTGGCTTGATTTCAATCGAATTAGACTGGCAATTTGCCTAAGACGAACAAACTTGAAGTTAACATGAAATCAAAAACCACTTTTCATTGGCTCGATTCCAATCGAATTAGACTAGGAATTTGCCAAAAATGAGCAAATTCGAAGTTATCATGAAATCAAAAGCCACTTTTCGTTGGCTTGATTCCAATCGAATTAGACAAGCATTTCTCAAAAGAAAGAACAAACCCAAACTTATCATGAAATCGAAAGCACCTTTTCATTGGCTCGATTCCAATCGAATTAGACTAGCAATTGGCCAAAAATGAACAAACTCGAAGTTATCTTGAAATCAAAACCACCTTTGATTAGCTCAATTCCAATCGAATTTGTCTAACAATTAGCCGAAAACGATCAAACTCGAAGTTGTCATGATATCAAAAGCCACATTTCATTAACTTAATTCGAATGGAATCAGACAAGAAACTCGTCTAAAATGAACGAACTCGAAGTTATCATGAAATCGAAAGCCACTTCTCATTGGCTCGATTCCAGTCGAATTACTCGAAGTTATCATGAAATCGAAAGCCTCGTTCATTAGCTCGATTCCAATCGAATTAGACTAGCGACTTGCCAAAAATGAACAAACCCGGAGTTATCAGGAAATCAAAACCACTTTTCATTGGCTCGATTCCAATCGAATTAGGCTAGCAACTTGTCTAAATCGAGCAAACCCGAAGTTATCATGAAAACGGAAACCACTTTTCATTGGCTCGATTCCAATCGAATTACACTAGCATTTCTCAAAAAAATGAACAAACGCGAACTTATCATGAAATCGAATGCAACTTTTCGTCGGCTCAATTCCAATCGAATTAGACTAGCAATTGGCCAAAAACGAACAAACTTGAAGTTATCATGAAATCAAAACTACTTCTCATTAGCTCAATTTCGATCGAATTTTTCTAGCAATTAGCCGAAAACGATCAAACCCAAAGTTATCATGAAATCAAAAGCCACTTTTCATTGGCTCGATTCCAATGGAATCAGGCTAGGAACTCGTCTAAAATGAACGAACTCTATGTTATCATGAAATCGAAAGCCACTTTTCATTGGCTCGATTCCAATCGAAATACCCGAAGTTATCATGAAATCGAAAGCCTCTATTCATTAGCTCGATTCCAATCAAATTAGACTAGTAATTCGCCAAAAATGAACAAACCCGAGGTTATCAAGAATTCAAAACCACTTTTCATTGGCTCGATTTCAATCTAATTAGACTAGTAATTCGCCAAAAATGAACAAACCCAAAGTTATCATTAAATCAAAACCACTTTTCATTAGGTCGATTCAAATCAAATTAGACTAGCAACTTGCCAGAGACAAACAAACCAGATGTTATCATGAAATCGAAAGCCACTTTTCATTGTCTCGATTCCAATCAAATTAGACTAGCAATTCGCCGAAAACGAACAAACCCGATGTTATCATGAAATCAAAACCACTTTTCATTGGCTCGATTCCAATCGAATTAGAGTTACAATTTGCTAAAGACGAATAAACCCGATGTTATCATGAAATCGAAAGCCAGTTTTCATTGGTTCAATTCTAATCGAATTAGACAAGTAATTCGCCAAAAAGAACAAACCCGAAGTTATCATGAAATCAAAACCATTTTTCATTGGCTTGATTCCAATTGAATTAGACTCACAATTTGCTGAAAATGATCAGACCCAAAGTTATCATGAAATCAAAAACCACTTTTCATGGGCTCGATTCCAATCGAATTAGACTAGCAATTTGCCAAAAATGAACAAACCCGATGTTATCATGAAATCAAAACTACTTTTCATTGGCTTGATTCCAATCGAATTTGACTAGCAATTTGCCAAAGATGAATAATCCCGATGTTATCATGAAATCGAAAGCCACTTTTCATTGGCTCAATGCTAATCGAATTAGACAAGCAATTCGCCAAAAAGAACAAACTCGAAGTTATCATGAAATCAAAACCATTTTTCGTTGGCTCGATTCCAATTGAATTAGACTCGCAATTTGCTGAAAATGATCAAACCCGAAATTATCTTGAAATCAAAAACCCCTTTTCATTGGCTACTTTGATTCAATCTGTTTTGAACTGTTTGTCGATGAAGAAATTTTCCCGCTTGTTGACTCTGATATGTTGATTCATTCCTTCTGTCACATGTGTCTTGTAGGCCCTACTTCATTTTATATACTGGGATGTGCTACCTGACATGGAAGAACTTACCGGTATGAACTCAAAATGGGCTTCAACCTTGATGGCTCAGCATCTGCTTGCAGCTGCTGATCGGTATGGTTTAGATAGGCTTCGGTTGCTTTGTGAGGCTAATCTATGCGAGGATGTTGCTATAAATACTGTTGCAAATACGCTGGCATTGGCAGAGCAGCATCATTGTTTCCAGCTGAAATCTGTGTGTCTCAAATTTGTTGCATTGCCTGAAAATCTTAGAGGTAAATCTTTTGTCTACATTTCAATTTTAAACCTTGTTATACACACTGGTACTCACATGCTTTACCAAGTAACTGGAGTCTGAAGCTATGCTTTTGACGAAGAACCCAGATTCCAAATGAACAAATTCAAACTTGAAAAGGATCTTTCTGATTCGAGTTATATCAGAATCATGATCTCATAGGAACCAATGATATAAATATAGGCAATGGATTTATATAACCTTATTTAGGAGTTGGGATCGCTAGGAGGTCCATATGATTGGATGTATGATCATAGCCCTTTCTATGCTTTTTTTTTGGCTTTTACTCCTTGAGGTTATATTTTAAAGGATTGCTACTCGGATAGTAGGATTGGGAGATAGGATCCTACAATCAAGGTAGGATCATCAGATTTTATGGTTTTTCTATGATGCACTTCTAAGACAAAGACGGCATTGTATCTGTAGATCTTTTTAGCAGTTGTTTTGGTCTACTAATGTTTTTAAGAAAATGCAGCATCTGAATGCCTTTTTTGTTGCCCAAATCAAAATGCAGGATAAGATTTCCCCAATATAAAATCATGCAACATTGTAAAGTCTTCCTATACAGGAAGTCCTAAGCTGCCGCCTATGAATAATTTTTGTCAAAACTCTAGTTATCGACAAACAATTTACATTTTTGTTTATTGAGAACAAAGCGAGTTTGACAAATCGGTTTTCATTGTATTAGTCTAAGTTTGCAATGTCTTGCACGAATCGTTACTGACAAATTGACGTTTTTTTTTTCTCCTTCAGCTGTTATGCAGACGGATGGTTTTGAGTATTTGAAGGAAAGCTGCCCTCATGTCCTAACTGAACTTCTAGAGTACGTTGCCAGGATAAGTGAACACTCCATTGCCATTGGCAAGCATGGTAATGAAGGTATCATGGATGGTAGTGATGTGAATGGTCGACGTGTGAAGCAAAGACTATAGGAGGAGTTGCTATCGAGAGAGAGAATAGCTTAGATCCTTCTTTAGGGTTATTAGAGAGACATTTTTTGAGCTGCAGCTTCAAGTATGATGCTGATGTAAATTCAATGGTTCTGTCTTATGTATTGTTCGATTGTGAAGTATAATTTGTGTATGGTTTTGTTTTGAGGGACAAACTTTAAACAAATATATGAATATACAGCTCCCCGTCTCTAGTTTGTCCGAAAATGACTATGAACCCATTGCTATTCTGATTTCTAATTGAACGGATTTTGTTGATTGGATATGCCGAAAATGTCGCAGTTCTCGTCATCTATGAAATTCTTTTTGTTGGGGAAGATAAAAATTAGATCCACAAATTTGATTTGTCGATGTTTCATTGAGCTTCTTAATTTAGATAAGATGGCGAAATTCCACATTGAACTTAGGGTCCATTTGATTACAAAGATGGAATTTGAGTGGAAAGAAAAGTAATTTTAGGGAATTGAATTGTCTAAAAATTATTTTTCTAGGAATTGTAAATTATTGTATTTGATTGTATAATTTTTTTACGTGAAAAATGTTGAAATAAGCATTTTTTGATGTTCGTTTGACTTTGTTTACATGAAAATTGTCAATTAAAGTGATAGATTTTATTGGTATTGGAGATAGAATTTGTTTCCATTGTCAAAAACAAAAAATTTAAGAAAATTATTTATTTTCGATGTTCGTTTGGCTTTGTTTTATATAGAAATTGTCAATTAAAGAGAAATATTTTTTTTACAATAATTTTTAAAATTTATTTAAATTGCCAAAAAAAAAAAAAAAAAAGGGACGTGAAAACGTGGAATTGAATTCCATTTGGTAGAATTGGCTGATGTGGCAAGGAAAATCAATTACATTCTACATTTTGCCAATCAAACAACAATAAATTAGAAAGATAGAATTTCAATTCCATTTTCCTTAAAATTTCACTCCTATCAAACAAAGCCTTAGAGTCGAGTTAAAATACATTTTTTCTACTTTAGGATTATGAAATTCAGTACGAGGTGTCAGATGTGCTAGTATGGATCCCAATTAAAAAGGGGATTTTAATTATTTACTACATATGTAAAATTTGATATTTAACTGTTAAGCATGTCGAGGGTGCATTCCATTGAGATTTTTGACAAATGTTTAAGGATTTAAACAGTTTAGTATATTCAATATATAATTTTTGATCTATTTAACAGTATAAATATGTTAAATTGAGATTTTATAAATTTTTAAAAAGCATTTAAAAGTTTCAATAATAAAAAAGTACTGACTTTTAAACAAAAAATTAAAAAAGAAATTCTAAAATTTTCTCCTGCACCCAAGATTATGTGACTTTTTAACAAAATAATTTTCTAAATATATATTTATTGTGATTTTATTATTTTTCTTTCATCTTCCTTCTAGAAAACTCAGCCATAATTTAAAAATTATTATTTTTTGTTATATCATTTTCTACGAAAAAATATTAAATTTTGATTAAAATATTCTTATGGCTTTTTTTCTTTTGTCAATCCAATTTTTTTTATGTAAAAGATCAAATTGTATTTAAAATTTATATGTAGTAATTATAGTTTTTATTACATGGGACAAAGGTAAGGGGAAGGGGATTGATTTTCCACTTTCTATGTGAAAATTTCTCGCTATGCCATACTCAAATGAATTTCGTTTGAATTCTATAAAAATCAATAAAAATTTTAAATTTTAAAACGAGTCCATAGAAATCTAATAAAATATTTTCATTAATTCTATACAAATTCAACAAAAAATTATTATTAAAAAAATGTCTATGAAAATCTTCAAAAGACCCAATTCAAGAGGGGTACTTTTAAGAAAGACCTAATCAAAAGACTATTTTTTCACATTGATCAAATTTTTTTTGTCATTCACTAAAAGAGTCTTTTGAAGAATAAATGTCATTTTTGCCGTTATTATGTTTTGTAATTACAAAAACATATCATTTGCTCCAAAGACAATAATACCCTCTTTAAAAAATTAATAAATCTAAATACTCCCACTTAAATTTCAAAATGAAATCACTTTCCTTATCAGATTCTCCAACACAATTAAAAATAAATTTCCTCTTCCATCTGCTTGAACATTGAAATCTCGAAAAATATCAAAGCTTCAAAAAAAAAAATATTACTCACAGTCGACACTTGAAATTGGTAAGTATAAATACGTATTTTTAATTTCATTTTAGTTAAATTAATACATTGTTTGAATTTTTAAATCTTATTTCAGCGTATGATTTTAGAAAAATAAATTATTACATTCTTAAACGGATGTATAATTTTTTTAGCAAAAACGAGGAAAAAAGTCAACTGTTCAGATCAGCAAAATGGAGAAGATAGCCGGCCAAACGACCAGGCCGGATGTTAACGGCCGACCCAGACAGCCTGGGCTGATTTTTTTTAATGATTGTGTGTGTCATATTTTTTCATCTTTTCATTCTCATAATTACAATTTTTTTAATAAATGATGTTTCCTAATGCAGATATGGGATTAGCTGTTGTCCCAATTTGTTACTTTGGTGAATTTGAAAATATGAAAATGATCGATGAAATGGATGAGTAAAAGACATGGTTATACTGCAATTGTAATAACATCGAGTACACCATATCCAGAAATGTACAATGAGATACAGAACTTGCTGAAAGTCGATCATTCTGAGTATGGCATGAAATTGGGATTTCTAATGGGCGAGCATACATCCATTTCAATTCCATCTATAATGATTACTTTTGAAGCTGAAATGAAGGTTTTAATTGAAATGAACAAGAAACGTGCGATTCCTATTTGCTTAACTTTGATGAAAAAGAACGTCCCCGAAAGTGAACACGAAGATTTCGATGAAGGGGATCGTAATGTGAATGAGTTTTGAGACAGTGAAAATAGTGCGTGATGATGTTGTGGCTATTTCAGAGACAGTTGCTCCTCACCACGATCTCACTGTTACACACAGAATTTGTTCGGTAGTTCAAGACAACGAAAGAGATAATGACTTTACAAATGAGAATTTGATTGCTTTATCCCGTCTGAGATATGAGTCGAGTGGGTGCTTACAATCTGGACTGAGTGCACGGTGCTCTAATTGTTTGCGTGTAGTCCCCGACGATGAAGATTTGTATGTCGAACAACTGTTTGACACGAAAAAAGATTTGCAGGAAGTTGTTCACCGGATTGCTTTGAAACACAATTTTGAGTTTAAAGTGAAAAAATCAAATAAGTCAACTTACACAATTGTCTGCGTTGACGACAGTTGCCTTTGGTGTTTGCGAGCAACGAAAATGGACACGAATGAGTTCTTTGAGGTTCGTAAGTATGCACGGGAACATTTATTCGAAGTGGGTATTCGTCGAAATGATCACAGACAAGCCCGATCATGGTTCATTGGTCGAGAAGTAATGCACAAGTTTCAGGACTCACGAACAATCTACAGACATTCGGATATTATTAATGACGTTCATCGAAAGTACAGGGTGATCATGAGCTATCAGAAGGTTTGGAAGGCCAAAGAATGCGCTTTGGAGGACTTGATGGGTTCGACCAATGAGAATTATGCTAAATTGGCCAGGTATTTCTTTGTTTAGATGTTTATTTAATATTTATTTCAAATGTTAATTATTCATGTCAATTGTTTAATTAATTATTTAATCAATTGTTTACTTAATGTCTAACTAATTATTTAATGCAGTCATTAATTTTAATTGTTTATTTAATTATTTATCAATTTTTTATTTAATGTGTAATTAATTATTTATTTAATTCAATTGTTAATTTTTCAGTTTATTTAATATTATTTATTTTATTATTTAAATTATAATTATTGTTTATTTAAATTGGTCCAGTTTTGCTATGACATGGAAAGAATTAATACTAGATCGATATTTTTTATTGAGAAGGATGACGAAAATCATTTCAAGTATTTCTTTATGACCCTTGGACAATGCGTTCGAGGATTTTGAAACGCAATGCGACTCTTAATCCTAGTCGACGGTACAACCCTTAAGGCGAGATACGGGGACAAGTTAATTATTGCAACATGTCAAGATGCTAAAATCCAAATTTACCATCTTGCATTCGGTATAGTTGACGGAGAAAATGATTTGGCGATGTTTTGGTTTTTCACGAAATTGAGGAAAGTAATTGGGGATGAGGGAAACTCGAGTATGGAAAATGTAGCAACTTTGCCCCCAAGATCAAAGCGGAGGGCATCTCCGTTAACTGGCTTAAGCAGTCGACACAGTAATGAATCGATCAACTGTCCAGAGAACTGTACAGATCGCAGCAAATACAGGGGCCATAGGCGGGATCGACGTAATATCTCTACGTGTTCCTCGTCCAATGAATCCAACACTGGTATGAAATTGGCAAAGTTATAGTTCGACGTAACTTTGCCATGAGCTTGCCCCAAGGCTGCATCCAAATGGTAATCCATCCTACAAAATTTCTAATGTTAGAATATTTGAAACATAATGTCACAAAAATCAACTAATCGAACTGTAAGTAATATACCTACGAAATAACAGATAATAAAGAAAATGAATTAAAAATTAGACAACAACTTATAAAAAACGAAAAACTAATTTTTTTTTAAAAATTATTTATTTCATAGTTTATTTTAATCCATGTTAGAAATTTATTTCAATTATTTATTTAATTAAATTTGATTATTTATATTTAATTACTTATTTAAATAAATTATTTTAAAATTTTATATTTCTTAGTTATTTAAATTGTTTATTTTTATTTAAACGTTCATTATTTATTTCAATTGTTTATTTGTTTATTTAACATTTATTTTAATTGTTTATTGAATGCTTAATTTTAATTATTTATTATAATTGTTTATTTAATTATTTTCTTTAAATTATTTATCAAACATTTAAACATAAATATGTAATTATTTGTTATATTTTTCTTTAGTTGTTTATTCAATATTTATTTTAATTATTAATTGAATATTTGATTATTTATTTTAAATAGTAAATATTTATTTCAATTGTTTACCTACATTCTAATTACTTATTTTGATTATTTTTATCCAATTATTTTTCATTTATTCGTTTCAATTGTTCATTTAAATTATTTGATTTAATTACTTATATTGATCGATTATTTGAATTATTTATTGAACAAGCAAACATAAATATTAATCATTTATTTCAAATGTTAGGAATTTATTTCAATTAAATTTCAATTAATATTTTCATTAATAACATTTATTCATTTATCATTTAAATAATCATTTAATTATTATTTAAATATTTATTATTTATGTTTGTGTGTTTCAATTACTTATTTATTACAATTATTTTTCATTTATTTGTTTCAATTGTTCATTTAAATTATTTGATTTAATTACTTATATTGATCGATTATTTAAATTATTTATTAAACAAGCAAATGTAAATATTTAATTACATATTTTGATTACTAACATTTATTCATTTATCATTTAAATAATCATTTAATTATTATTTAAATATTCATTCTTTATTTTTGTGCATTTCAATTAATTATTTATTCTAATTGTTTTTCATTTATTTGTTTTAATTGTTCATTTAAATTATTTGATTTAATTACTTATATTGATTGATTATTTAAATTATTTATTGAATAAGCAAACGTAAATATTTAATTATTTATTTCAATTAAACTTTAATTAATACTTTGATTAATAACATTTATTCATTTATCATTTAAATAATCATTTCATTATTATTTAATTGTTCATTATTTATTTTTGTGCATTTCAATTAATTATTTGTTCCAATTATTTTTCATTTATTTGTTTCAATTGTTCATTTAAATTATTTGATTTAATTACTTATATTGATCGATTATTTAAATTATTTATTGAACAAACAAACCTAAATATTTAATTATTTATTTCAAATGTTATAAATTTGTTTCAATTAAATCTTAGTTACGTATTTTGGTTATTAACATTTGTTCATTTATCATTTAATTATTATTTAAATATTTATTATTTATTTTTGTGCATTTCAATTAATTAATTATTCCAATTTTTTTCATTTATTGTTTCAATTGTTCATTTTAATTATTTGATTTAAATACTTATATTGATCGATTATTTAAATTATTTATTGAACAAATAAACGTAAATATTTAATTATTTATTTCAAATGTTAGAAATTTATTTCAATTAAACTTTAATTAATATTTTGATTATTAACATTTATTAATTTGTCATTTAGATAATCGTTTAATTATTATTTAAATGTTCATTATTTATTTTTGTGCGTTTCAATTAATTATTTATTCCAATTGTTTTTAATTCATTTGTTTCAATTGTTCATTTAAATTATTTGATTTAATTATTTATATTGATTGATTATTTAAATTATTTGTCGATCAAATAAACTTAAATATTTAATTCTTTATTTTAAATTTTAGATATTTGTTTCAATTAAAGTTTAATTACGTATTTTGATTATTAACATTTATTCATTTATCATTTAAATAATAATTAAATTATTATTATTTAAGTAATAAATAAATAAGTAGTTAAATAATAATTTATTGTTGTGTGTTTCAATTATTTAATCCACACGTTAAAAAAAACAGAGGGCCCATGCAGAATACAGACAGCCCAGGCCGTCTTTGACAGAAGGCCTGTGCTGTCTGTCTTCTCCAATCAGTGTCAGAGATCGTCATTTCCAACGATTTTCGGCCAAAAAAATCTCAAAAAATGCAATTTCTAATAATTTTACATAATCTACAAAAATTTCTACTACTATTTCCAAAAAAATAAACCTTCAACATCCAGTTCAAGGATTAATGGGGGAAAAATAAGCAAAACTTACCTTCCTCGCCTTTAGTGGTGGCCGGTCAGTCTCCTTCTAAGAAAAAGTCGTCGATTTTCTTGCTATTTCTTCTCCTTCTTTCTCTAAACGTCGATTTGAGAGTGATTTGTTAGCGACAATATTGAATTTTCATTATTTTTAAAATTTTTACAAATTTTTCAATTTTTTATTTTTAAACAGAAGTCAACTATCGTCTTGAAAAATTGTGGCTATCTACGAGCATTTCCTCCAATTCAATATCCTTTCAAATTAGGGCTTCTTTCTAATATAGAGTCTGTTTCAAGGCACACGAATGTACCCCAGCGGAACTTGAATTATATCATATAGCGATCAAGAAAATTGACAATTTTCTCACTCAAAATGGTAAAATTTCATAAAATCTATTGCTATTTCTTGTTCTTCTGAAAATTTTCTGCTTTATTGAATATTCCAATTTCTTCTTCTTGTTCATCTAGGGTTTGTTTTGATATGATTGCAGCTGTTCTTCTCGTACTTCAAGGATCTGGTGGGTCGAGAAGTGACTGTGGAGCTGAAGAACGATTTGGCGTTAAGTGGTACTTTACACTCTGTGGATCAGTACCTCAACATTAAGCTCGAAAACACGCGGGTTGTTGATCAAGACAAGTACCCCCACATGGTATTCCCTTTTTCTTCCTCACTTTAGGATTTTGGATTTTTTTATTAAGGAAATTTAATAATAAGTTCCAAAGCATCCAGGGAAACTGAAAACTTAAAATGTTCTTACAATAAGCTTTCTTTCTTTAGTCAATTTTTATACTTGTCTATTTTGTTGAATGAATGCATTATCTGGGCACTAAATGCCATTTAGGTAAAGATTTCTCGTCTAGAAGTTGAGTTTTATTTACATAATGTGTTTCATTTTTAAGATGTATGGTCCTTGGATTTGCTATTGTTTGGAATTTTTGTTGTGCCTACTTGATGAAATATGAAGGATTATGTAAATCTAAGGTGGCATTTTGTGTTTCAAATTTTAGAGGAATATGCATGTTTACGAAATTCTATGTAATGGAAATATGTTGTGAGGAATTCGAATATTTATTTATGATTTCCATTCTGTTTGTCTGACTTTTATTTTAAACCACCACCATGATGGTAAATTTATCAATACTAGAACATAAAGTACAATAACACCCACAATACACTTTTTGATTATTGAATTATATGGTGGAGTATTGGAACCTCCATTCTTATTGCAAATGTGCGGTAACATGAAGAAGTCTCTCTTCACTTAAATGGTTGGATGCTAAATAATTTTGAAATATGATTTTAGGTATTTATTTTGCGGACACGTGACTAAGAATTGTACAATACCTCTGATTCCTGGAAATAAATTAATGTAACTTCAAATATGAGGATTAGCAATTGGTAATTGAAATGAGTTTCTCGTCCAATTGACGCATATGGAAGAAAATGTTTTATCTTTTGAATCTAATCGTTCATTTCATTTTGGAATTCTATTGCTCATTTGACTTCTATATTGTTTTTCCAACCAGTGGAGTTTATTTAGCATTCCAAAGTTAATACCGCTGCACAATCCAACCTCACTCACATAAATAACAGAATAAAAAGAAATGCAAAAATGTCATACCTGTTCTATTTAATCCTTTGAAAAAATAAAAATAAAAAAATCTTATCCTAACATTAACTATAATCCAATCTACAGTGGACTGCCTTTAATTCATTCTTTATTGATCATCAGTATACATTTCTCTTGCTTCCCTTATCCTTCCCTCCCAAATTCTTGTAGGAGTCAGGAGCATGTCATGTTTAGACCTGTACTGTGGATAAGGCTTGAGGCATCATTGAATCGAGTATGTTATCTGTTAATAGGATCTGCAGCATGTCAGGGTGGGTGATTGCCTAGTATGTTGTTTCCCATGCTTTTTAAGGTTTACATAATTAGTTTGTTCTTTGCATCTTGTATTCGTTGTTGCCTATTGAGCTTAAGCACAAACCTCATCTGTTCCTGTGTTCTATTGATGGTATATTTTAGTGAAATTAATATTAGTAATTCATTGTCAATTGGATGCGTTATTGCACGTATGCCTGAGCTTTCACTTTCTTTTTATCCTTTTGGTCATTCTATTGTGTTGTGTTCCCAACATTTTTTAAATCTACATCGACGTAAAGAGACTTTCCATACAACTTGGGTTATATTGTTTTTTTCACTGGGATTTGAGCTGGTGAGATGTAATGCTAAAAATTGCTTAGTTTGCATAATACTCTAATGATTGTTTCTTGGAGTTATTGGTTGTTTGGTTCAGAACGCAATTGCTTTTCGAGCTAATACGAACATTCTCTTCTATATGTGTGCATCCGTCGAATTAACTTTTCATTCACCCCTTTTTCGTCCTTGCTTTGCTGCATACTTTTTGCAATGTTTGTGGGAGTATATGCTTCTTTGCTAGCTTTAAAATAAATAGGTTTTTAAGAGCATGTTTGGTACGGCTTAAAGCCCAAACAAAATCAATTTTTTGACCGTTATTTCAATAATTTAGCTGTCATTTTTGAATTACTCTCACAAATACGACCCACTTTATCTCTAACGGTCAAAAAATCAATTAATAAAATCCCTACCAAACAAGCACTAAATTTATAAAATTGATAAGCAAGTTATATTTTTACAATAAGGTAGAGTTATTTTCCTAATAACTTTTGCAAAAAAAAAAAAAAGTATATATATATATATATATATATATATAAAGTTACATAAAATAAACTTTTACTTATTTTTAAGCTAGTCAAACATGCATATTCATCTTTTCGATCTGTGACAGCTTTCAGTGAGGAATTGCTTCATCAGAGGATCAGTGGTGAGGTACGTCCAATTGCCACCAGAGGGAGTTGATGTTGAATTGCTTCATGATGCCACAAGAAGAGAAGCCAGGGGTGGCTAAAGCACATCGGTTATCCTTCGTATGCTTAGAGATTGTCATTTAAATGCATTTACATTTAGTAAGAATCTTTTGTGGAAAATTTGCTAACTTATCAACTCTGTAATTTTAGGAAAGATTTCAATTGAAGTTTATGTCACATCTCTTGGTTTTGATTATCAGAAATATGAATTACTAAGCTTTATGCTTCTATAGATCTTTGAGTTAATCTATAATCATGAATTGAAGGCTGTAGCAAAAAGGGATTCATGTAATCGACTCTAAAATTATTGAGAACGAAGTTTATTTTGTTCATCATTTTTGTGTTTTGCTGGCATTGGGTCACATATATTGACAGTGGAGCAGTTGTGGACAACGTGATAATAACATGTTTGGTTGAGGATTTTGGTTGATGTTATGGATAAAGAGAACTAAAATACTGTTTATTTTGTGATGTAATCGGTTTGACAAAGTTTAAATTTTTATTTAAGTTTGTCAAACATATATATTTTTTATTCATACATTTCATGTTACTCACTTATAAATAAGGTTTATAATTTATTAGTACTTAAAAGCACGTGTTCTATTTGCAAACTCTCTTTTGACACGTTTCTATATTCTAATGGAATATTGAGATGGGACCTTCTAATTGAAAGAAGGTTGAGAATAAAAATGTGAAATTTGGAAACATTAATGTTACAATGAATAAAATGAGGACTAAAGTTCAATTTAATGAAAAAACTTCCGTTGATTGAAGCCTCGTCAAAATCCCAAATGTATCTCATTCCCACAGAACCCAAAATCGCTGTATTGCTCCACTGTAATCCCCAATAATGGGTAGAATTTCCTCCGCAGTAGAATTCCCCGAAGACCGCCGCCTTCATAGCCACCGGGAAAATGCCCGCCGCTTTCCGGAATCCCATAATTACCACCGTCCTAGTCTTAGCCTTTGCCGTAGCCGGAGTCCAAGCTACAGTAGTAGCCCGCCTGACGACGTCTACAACAGGTACCGTCGCTCTTCTCCTGATTATTCTTCGTACCCTAGACGTAGCCCAAGGCCTGATGAAACCCTACAGGCCGACGGAAGAAATAGAAACAGGTATGACGATGGAAAGAAACCGTTTCTCGATCGCGGTTATAAAAATATACGACATGGGGAGTCTGAATCGGATGAAGAATTGAAATGCTTGGGATTCGAAGAGTACAGGAGGCTTAAGCGCCAGAAATTGAGAAAATTGCTCAGGAATTGTATTTGGAATAGTACTCCTAGCCCTCCTCGGGATCCAAACCAATCCTCGGATTTGGAACCTGAGGATGAAATTACCAGGAAAGTTGAAGAAGATAAGGAGAACAGAGAGGATAACAAATTAAAGTCTGGTTCGAAAAAATTGAGTAGAGATTCATCAGAGAGTGAATCTGAGTCGGAGCCTGAGGACTTCGAATCTAGATCAGATGACTCGCTGTCATGGAAGAAGAGGAAGAGTAGAAAGTCGAGTTTTAGGAGCAGGGCGAGGAGATCAAAATCTGTGTCTGAGAGCAAGAGTGGGTCGGAGGAGTCCAGCGATGACGGCTCGGAAGAAGAAAATAGGAGAAGGCGGAGGAGAAAATCCAAGAAAGAGAACAGTACGAGAAGTAAGAGGTCTGGGAGAAGTAGGAGGAGAAAGAGCAATAATAGGAGGAGTTATTCAAGTGAAAGCCAGACTGATGAGAGTGAAACTGAGGATTCCAATGCTAGTGATCATGGTAAACTAAAGAAAGGGAATCGTTTCCCATCTTTGATGTCTCGAAGGAGCAAGAAGAAGAAAGAATCTGACAAAGAGAGTTCCAATGCCGATGAAAGTAGCTCTGATTCTGAAATTGATGGAAAAAGTGCTAAGCAGAAGGTAGATGAGGCTAAAGTGAGTGACGAAAATGTTGCAGAGTTGCTTAAGTTCAAGGAAATGATTGAGTCTAGGAATAAACTGACTCTGGATAATGAACCAGTTGTTGGGCCAATGCCTTTGCCAAGGGCAGAAGGGCACATTAGCTATGGTGGTGCACTTAGGCCCGGTGAAGGTGATGCCATTGCACAGTATGTTCAGCAAGGTAAACGTATTCCTCGCAGAGGTGAAGTAGGCCTTTCAGCTGAGGAGATTCAAAAGTTTGAGACTCTTGGGTATGTGATGAGTGGTAGTAGGCATCAGAGAATGAATGCCATCCGTATCAGAAAAGAAAACCAAGTTTATAGTGCTGAAGACAAACGAGCTCTGGCAATGTTTAACTACGAGGAGAAGTCCAAGCGTGAGCAGAAGGTTATGGCTGATTTGCAGCGTCTGGTGCAGCGCCATATTGGGCAGGATTCTGGTCCTTCTCACGATCCTTTTGCTGGGAGGGCTGGTGAGGGTGGCGATGTTTGATTCTAGGTGATAATAGTGGTTATGTCTCTATTTTGTTTGTCAATGTTTTCTTCTGGATGATGTAAGGATATAAACCTCTGGTGCTAAGAATGTAGAGCAAATCTTGTGCAGATATTAATTTTTAAGTCTTTTGGTACTTCTTAAGTTTCATCTGCATTTTAGTAAGTCAGTTTAATTCACATGGATTGTTACTAATGATATCATCTGATGACCAAGAACTTCTATAAATGTAGAAATTGTATTTATAGACTGTACTTAGAGATACTTTCTAAAAGAGCAGCTAAAGATATGATTGGTAGCACAGCCATCATGCTAGAACTCGAGGATTAGATGTGAGTTTTAATACATGCCAAACAAAAATATGGATATTCTTTTGGTTTGCTGATCTCAAGTTTGAATGTAATGATTCCTTGAAGGGGTTTACTAGTTCTGATTTTTTAACGCTGAATTAAGGTTAGTCATGTAAAATAAGTGGGTGACTGATGAACTATTGGAGGGAATTTATTTGTAAAGTGAAGTCAGTGTCATTAAGGAGAAAGCAAGCTGCAAGAAAGAGAGAAGTAAAAATGGGATTTAGGCTGGAAAAATTGATAAATACCATTCTAATCTCAAAAGTGCTGTTTCAATTAATGATCACTGAGATTCCCAATTTAGAGGCAATTATTCTGGTATTGTACCTAGTTCCTTAAGGCTACATGTTATGAGCTGTGTTTTTTGCATGGAATCATTTCTGGAGATTTTGATCGAAGTGAAGTTTCTGAACGGCTTCTGAAAAAGGTCTGATGAATTCTTACAGTGCACTGAATTTCTACCTTTTGAAACCAATTATTGATATCATTGTTGTTTTTACATAGGCAATTCGAACACTGATATCAAGGGGCCCAGGATCAAATTCATATACTGGTACTAAACTAAACTAAACTTGCTTGTTTTCTGATTGGAGAGTCATATATCACCATTACTGTTTTTGATTTCTATTCTTGTTTGAGACTTGCTTTTTTCTTTTTTTTTTAATCTTAATCTCTCTTTTATTTTCTAGTTTTTTTTTTTTTTTTTTTTTTTTTATTTTTTTTTGTACTTTTTTTTTTTTTTTTTTTTTATTTTTAATTCTTTTTTTTTTTTTTTTTTTTTTTTTTTTTTTTTTTTTTTTTTGAACATCATTCATAGAGTTGCTGATATACATCATTTGAATCAATATTGATTTTTTAAGTTTATGAAGCTTGAATTATTTTGTTTTGTTGCTACTGCTTGCTTTTGAGTGAGCTAGTGCTTGGACAATAGCAATTTCATGTCCTAGATACTAAGGTGTAATAAAATGGTCAAACGATCTTCCTAAGCTCAACTGTTCCATGGCATACGTGGTGTCATTTTTCCAAAAGTTATTGCATCTCTTTATATTCCATAAGGGAATTGTGAGATCATGGTTATAATTCCCTTTCTAAATGTCACAGGATTTGTTTCTCTTTGTTGAAGTATGAAGGGAAATGGAAATGCCACTTGGATAAAACAGGTCAACAACTCCAGCTCAAACCATGTCAGCAAAATTAGGTCAAGCCATGTCAACTGCAAAACATTCTAGAAGATGAGAGACCCAGCAAGTTGCATAAGGAATATATTGTGGATACCTGTTGAAGAAAAGTGTAGAAGAAATTTCTATTAGGCAACTTGTATAGCATTCATTCTGTTATGTGTGTGTGTGTGTGTATATACTGTAATTGCAAGCATTTGAGAGCAATAATAATTATTTTTCTTCTCCATTCACGTGCTGTAATGGCCTCATCATTATTCCTTTTTATCATTCGTATCTTCATTTTGTAATATGGTATCAGAGCTTTAACAATGGCTAAAGACCACAGCACAGATACCCAATCTGCCATGCATGAAGACTTCAGTCCAAATTCCCAATCTACTGCACATCAAAATTTCAATTCAAATCCTCGACAAAACCAAAACACCTACTTCATACCAAATCCTAATGACCCTACTCATCCGGACAATCCATACTATATTAGGGAGAGTGACAGCTCTGGAACAATACTGGTCACTCATGTACTTGACAACACCAACTACTATGCATGGGCAAGATCCATGAAGAGGGCCCTTAGAATTAAAAACAAACTAGGATTCATTGATGGAAGCCTAACACGGCCCGACCCCAGTAGCTTTTTGGTAGAACACTGGCTCTGTTGCAATGATCTTGTGATAGCCTGGCTACAATACACCATGTCCATGGAAGTAAAATCTTGCACTCTTTATGCAGAAACCGTTAGAGAGCTATGGATGGAACTAGAACATCGATTGGCTCAACAAAATGCCCCACGAATTTATGAGGTAAAACAAGCCATCAACGGCATAATGCAAGACCAAGATGTTGTGAGTGCTTATTTTTCGAAATACAAAACTCTCCTTGATGAATTAATGAATTATGAATCCATACCTAATTGCACTTGTGGAGGACTTCGCACTGTTGTCAATAATCAGAAAAGAGATTGGGTCATGAGATTTCTTATGTGTCTAAACGAATCTTATAAGGATATCAAAGCTCAAATTCTTTTGATTAAGCCTTTGCCTGATCTCAATGAAGTATATTCTATTATACAACTAGAAGAAAAGAGAAGGCATATTTCAATGGACTCTCTACCAAATGACTCCATGGCAATGATGACTCGTGGAATTCGAAATGGAAATCAGCACACAACTAATCGAAATGCCAAGTATTTTTGCACTCATTGTAAAATTGCAGGGCACTCATTGGAAAGATGCCTTAAGGCTAATCCTAACATACCAATGTGTTCCCACTATAACTTACGTGGTTATAGCATAGATAAATGCTTCAAAATCCATGGATACCCCAAGGACACAAACTCTACAATAAAGGTAACCCTCCCAATCATTCTGCAAATCAGGCGACCAGGATTGCTCATTCTCCCATTACAAGAGCAATACACTCAGTTCATAGCACTTCTCAACAAACAGAGTGCTTCACCATCAACTCATTTGGCAAACCAAGTTTGTTCTGTCATTACTCCTTGCACTACTGAGGATCAAATGCCTAATGTTTCTGGTATATCTCTATGTTTGCATTAAAATCCAAGACACCAGCTATCACACCTTGGATCATAGACACAGGTGCCACAAATCATATGATCTGTGGCATCTCTTTGTTCACTAACGTTGTGGCACAGGTTTCCCACTTAGTCACACTTCTTAATGGGAATGGTGTTGCTGTCACCCATATAGGCACAGTGCAAATTTCAGAAAAGTTAATCATGCATGATATACTTTGTGTCCCATCCTTCTCTTTTAACTTAATTTCAACCAGAAGACTAGCTACCATTTTGAATTGCTGTCTTATTTTTCTATATCAATTTTGCTTTATATAGGATCTTTTGACCTGGAGAACGATTGGGATGTAAAGTGAGGCATGGTCTGTACCATATACAACAAAAGGAAATTTCACCATCAGCATTCTTTGATATTTTAAGCAACACCAAAACCATCACAACAGCTATTACACACACTGAAGAATTCGATCTCTGACACTACAGATTAGGACATCCTTCATTCAACATCCTTAAATCCTTAAACAGCAATTAGATCTCCACGAATAACAGCAAACCTTGTATGATCCGTCATTTAGCCAAAATGCACATACCCCCTTTTCCTACTAGTCAACATCAGTCAGCAAAATGCTTTGATTTATTTCATTATGATCTTTGGGGACCATGTAATGAAGTAGCGTATGATAGCTTAAAATACTTTTTAACAATAGTAGAAGACTATAGTAAATGTACTTTGATCTATACCTTGAAATGCAAATCTTACTTTGCAGAGGTTCTGTAAAATGATTGAAAACCAATTTGAAGCCAAAATCAAGATAATTAAAAGTGACAATGGAGGGGAATTTAAAACGAAAGATTTCTATCTTGAAAAAGGAATTGTGCATCAAAAATCTCGTGTTGAAACTTCACAACAAAACTCTGTAGTGGAGAGGAAGCACCAACATATTCTCAATGTGGCAAGGGCTTTAGCCTTTAAGGTTTCAAAGTGAAATTCTGATGAAGTTTTGGAATGATTGTGTACTCACTGTCGTGTACCTCATAAACAGGACTTCCTTACCTCTCCTAAATCACAAAAAACCTTTTGAAATTCTCCTCAACAGGAAGCCAAACTCTTCCCACCTTAGAGTTTTTGGATGCCTAGCATTTGCCACTACCTCACTCACAATAGACACAAATTTGATCCGAGAGCCAAACGATGTATTTTCTTGGGATATCCATTTGGAATGAAAGGTTATAAGCTGATGGATTTAGAAACAAATAAGATCTTTGTTTCAAGAAATGTCACATTCTATGGAAACATTTTCCCTTGCAAGACTATAGATTAGTCAAAAACTAATGCATTATTTGATCCATCAAACTTGCCCTTTGTCCAAACACCAGCCATGAACCATTATCATATGATTGAACATCAAAATTTGGAACCTCTACAATCCTACAACAGAAGCAATGGACCATTGAATGATCGAAGTCTACCATCAAACATCATCACATCACCAACAAGAAATCCAAGTTTTACAAACTCCCCAAATAACTCAAGTTCAAAAAATCCTTTAAATGAATTTGTAAATACCACATCACCATCCATAAATGCAAGTCCTCACCTACCTAGAAGATCTACCAGAACCAGAAAAATTCTCCCATACTTGCAGAATTTTTTATGCCAGGAGGCCAGCTCATCTATCCCATTTCAAGAGTTTAAAAGGCAAAAGGTTCACCCAACTCCAGGTCATCCTTTCCTACTTGAAGCAACTATTTCCTATCATAAATTATCAAATGCACACAAAGCCTTCACCACATCAATCACTTTCCACATAGAGCCAAACAGTTACAGTGAGACATTAAAGTCCCCAGAATGGTGCAAAGCAATGCAGAATGAAATTGATGCACCGGAGCAAAATAACACATGGATTATTATAGATTTACCAGATGGGAAATCAGCCATAGGGTGCAAATGTGTTTTTAGAATCAAATATAATTCAGATGGATCTGTGGAAAGACACAAGGCACAACTGGTCGTCAAAGGATACACACAACAGGAAGGACTACACCACTATGAGACATTCTCCCCAGTTGCAAAGATGATCACTGTCAGAACTTTATTGGCCGTGGCAGCCATCAAAGGATGGTCTCTATGTCAACTTGACGTAAACAATGCATTTATACATGGAGACCTCAATGAAGAGGTGTACCTGGAATTGCCACCAGGGTACTCGAAGGCATCTCAACCAAGGGTCTGCAAATTGCGTAAAAGTCTATATGGCCTAAAACAGGCCTCAAGGCAATGGTACTCAAAATTGTCAACGTTCATCACAGGACTTGGATTTGTTCAGTCAAAAGTAGATTATAGCCTATTCATCAAGTCTCAAGGGAACTTGTTCACTGCCATTTTACTATATGTGGATGACATCATTGTGGTCAGCAATGATATGCAATCAGTCAACTCCCTAAAATTGTTGTTGGATGAAAACTTCAAAATCAAAGATCTGGGAACGTTGAAGTATTTCCTTGGCATTGAGATAGCAAGAAGAAAAGAAGGAACCATGCTTTGTCAAAGGAAATATGCCTTGGACATATTAAGAGATTCAGGCACAATTGGAGCCACGCCAGCAAAAATTCCCTTGAACCAGAATATGAACCTATCCAAAAACCAAGGTGAATTGCTCGATGATCCATCCATGTACAAAAGGCTCATTGGAAGATTTCTCTACCTAACTGTAACCAGACCTGGCATATCTTATGCTGTCCAACTCTTAAGCCAATATATAGATAAACCTAGAATTCCACATATTAATGCAGCACACAAGGTACTTCATTATATTAAGAGAAGTCCAGGTCAAGGCCTATCCTATCCAGCCTCACCAATGCTACAACTTCAAGCGTACAGTGACTCTAATTGGGGATCATGTCCTGACACACGAAGATCCATCACAAGCTATTGCGTTTTCTTAGGATCTTCCTTAATTTCCTGGAAATCAAAGAAACAGGAAATAGTTTCTAGATCCTCAGGAGAGGCTAAATATAGGGCCATGGCAAGCACCTATTGTGAGCTAACATGGTTATAGTTCTTACTCAAAGATTTGACAGTATGCCACCCACAAGCAGCACTCTTGTATTGTGATAGTAAGTCGGCAATCCATATTGTTGGAAATCTTGTTTTCCATGAAAGAACTAAATACATAGAGCTTGATTGTCATTTGATATGAGATAAAATTCAGGAAGGAAGTGTAGTAACTGAACATGTAAAGACTAATGCTCAAGTTGCTGATATTCTTACTAAGGCAATAAATTTACCTAGTTTTAAATCCGATTTGGCCAAGATGGGAGTAAAAGACATCTATTCTCCATCTTCCCGAGGGGGG